CTTCAGGGACAAAGGTATAGAACAAAGCTGATAAGTTTTTTTAGAATGTTTTTCATGAAGTACAACAACTCACAATCCCCAGGAGCAACAAATCAAGCAAGGAAGGCAAAAGACCAGCAGGGCTGAGTTGAGATATGCAAATCAATCTAAAGTACAAGCACAGACAGATAACCTAGGAAGATTATAGTGATGCTGCCTGTGTAAGGATTGGGCCAGAATGGTTTGGAATGGTATTCTCCAATTTAGGAGTCCCACTATAAAAAATACACTTGCACTTGCTCCCCCTCCAATTGGAAAAAGTGCAAAGCTTATGATTTAAGAGCAATTTATTTGAAACAGCAATGAAATAAGAAAATTAATAATAACAGCAACAATATTCAAAACAAAAGTGTGCAAAAGAGAAATTTTGGAGCTTGTCCCAACCACAGCCAGGCCACCCAAAGTACTCCCTTCAGTTGGGACCAGTGTTACCCCACCACTCTGTCTGCCACATTTCCCCCTTTTCTGAAATGAGAGACCATCCTTTTCCTCCACCCCTGGCCATGACATAGGATGGTATTGAATAACTATAGGGTCTTGGTTACACCCACATGGCTCCAGGCCCTGCCCTCTCGTGGCTACTACAAAAAAATTCACCCTGTCCTTAGCCAAAACAAGTTACACTCATCACCTGAGCTAGTACCAAAGCTTCTTTCCAGTGAGCCAACAGGTGAACTGCTAGACTCCCTGCACTTATCACACATAGTCAGACAATGTTTCCTTACTGGGTCAGCCCCAAGTTTTCTATGGAAAAGAGACAGAGACTCAGAAGTCTGGGTCCTTAAAATAATTTAATCATGATGCAACAGAAGGATAACAGCTTGAGCTGGTGCCCCTGAGGGGTGCCCCTGAACAAAGGAAACCCTGTATTTTTATACCCTCATGGTCTAAAAGCATGAAACTCTCTGCTCTTCATCCTAAGGCACAGGTTCCTACTGTGTCTCTAAGGGACTGTCCATCTGGCTGGAACCACAGGTCCCTGTGTCCTTTATTATTCGAAGGGTCAGTGCCAGTTCAAGGCCTCTTGCCTCAGGCTCCTGCCAATCAGAGCTCCAAGTGCAGCTGCACACTGAGCTACCAGCACTAAAGGCATTCAACAGCACTGCATCCAGTTCTGGAGCACAGGAAAGACATAGACCTCTTAGAGTGGGTCCAGAGCAGGGCCCCAAAAATCATCAGAGGACTGGGACACCTCTCTTAGGAAGACTGAGAGAGTTGGAGCTGTTCAGCCTGGAGAAGAGAAGGCTCCAGAATGATCTTACTGCAGCATTTCAATATTGAAAGGGAGATGATAAGAAAGGTAGGGACAAATGTTTCAGCAGGGGCTGTTGTGATACAACAAGGGGTAGTGCTTTAGGATAGATTTAGACTAGGTATAACAGAGAATTTTTTTTACAATAGAATGGTAGAACACTGGAACAGATTGCCCAGAGAAGCAGTGGATGCCCCATCCCTGAACATTCAAACTCAATCTTGACTTTGCTCTGAGCAACCTGATCTAGTTGAAGATATCCCTGCTTATTGCAGCAGGGTTTGACTAGATGACTGTTAAAGATTCCTTCCAACTCAGCCTATTCTCTGACTCTATGATAATTAGCAAGCCAAGAAAATATACCCAAAATACCCAGAAGAAAAATAAGACAGCTAAAAATAAGTAATTTGTGAACAAAACATTGTTTGTGGTATTGTCATGGGGTTACTTTACCTTTAAGGAAGTTGAAGTTGCTGGGTACTGACTGGAGTCTTTTCTCCTGACCAATTATCGGTCATTACTGAGAACTGACAGCAGTTTTGGCCATTGAAAAGTGGGATCAACTTGTGAACCCTACCTTAAAATGTAAAACCAGAGCTCTCTTATTCTCTTTGTTTCTTGGCTGTGGAAGATAACAGAGCTGCAGCTGGCCTCCCGTTCCCTGCCCAGCCCATGCGGCCCGGGCAGGGGCTGGGCTGGGCCTGCCACATCTCCCAGCTGGGAGATGGGGGGGGCCTGCGGGGCTTGCCCCGGGCTCTGGCTGGGCCAGGTCGGTCCCTGGCTCATCTGCAGTTTTTGCCGTGATGGAATTCACCAGAAACTGCCGAGTAAAGAAAGAAAGGGGCTCTGAACCTGCAGCAAGCAGAGACAGCGACCACACTCTCCAGAGCAGCTATGAAGAACTTTCCATCGCAGACGGCTCCAGCTCCTGCACCGGCCGAGGCTACAGAACCATCTACAAAAGCCTGAGCAAGATTTTAACTCTTTCATTACCCAGATGAGACTTGCAAATTTTTTTATCCAGAGAGAGAAAAAGAGAGTGATCAACATGAAAAGAGACTTTATAAACTACCAGTGACAGGAAAGAAAAGAAGCTTCAGAAAAGGTAGAGAATAAGGAGATGCTTTAATTAAGCTGAAATATCTTTCTGTTAAAACTATGGAGATGGACAATGAAGTCCTGAAAAGAACACCTTTAATTCATGATACAGAAAATAGGGAGGAATAGAGTGTTCAAGGTGTAAATTTTGAGTAAAAAGCAGAGTAATTGTGATACAGTGAAGTGCTGGAAGATTTGAAGCCTTGAGAGGCAATGAGAAAACTGTTTTCTGGTGAAGCTCACAGAAACAGATGAAGAAGACTTTTGCTTTTGAATAACTCATCCTTAAAATGCCATCCCTAGACTCATGGCCCATACACACCTCAGAGTGATGTGAAATGGGAGGAGTGAGCTCTGACAACAGCAGTTCTGGGCAGCTGACATTAGGGCAATTAGAAACTATAACAGAAGTAGTTTTCTTGTGAGAAACCCCATAAGTTAACAGAAAGAGACTTCTGTTTCTCTACAAAGACTGGTGAAAAGACTGTAGCAGGAATTGTTCCAAAGTTCCAAAGTTTTTGTCTCTGTTGTCATGTGAAGAAGGGAATAATGGGTAGATAAGAGATGAAAAAGTTTTTCTGGAAGTTTATTCTGGTGTTCTTATTATTGTAGTTTGTCAATAAACTTTCTTTGTTCCTTTTAAGTTTTATGCCTGTTTTGCTCTTGTTCTAATCCATATCTCACAGCAAGAAATAAGTAATTTTTTTAGTTACTGGTTTAAAACCACAACAGGTATGACAGAAGCGGTTATGCAACTATAAACAAAATTATTAACAAGAGAAGCCTACATATAATGGGAAGCTATGGTAACCTTTAAACGTATGGTGTCCACACTCTTCTTCCTGTGCAATTTGAACACTGGCTGGGCAACAGAGCTTTTGTGTAACTAGTAGTTCAGAAATTGCATTCCAAATTACAGACTGGATTTAATACAAATCCATTCTAATGAACTTAATAAACTTGGAGCTATAAACATTTTTGCTAAATATGACTGCAAATGGCAGGGGAAATTGCTTTGTTCCAAAGTATCAAAATTCAGATTAGCACTGATTTTAGCAATCAGCTGATGCCTGTTAGAGAGAGGTTTCACAAGGCATTAGTATGAATATCTTTGTCCTTTAAGGAAAGCAAATCTGTCATCCAACTTAGTAGATTCTTTTCATCTCTATTATATATTCTGAAACCAGAAGGAAATACTGGTTTGCTTCACAGTAATAATATACAGAAAAATATGGAAGAATTGTGCTTAACTAGAGGAAGGGCATGACTCAGATCTGTGTTGCTCTCATTATAATACTGTAACTATTAAGTGTTCTGTTGCATAGCAACCCCAGAAATGACTGCAGTGTAATCATGTATGCAGTGATGTTGCAATGCTGTGGCATGATCTGATAAACTGATCAGAAGAAAGGTATTACTAAATATCCAGTTTACATGGATAAATACTTATATTCATCTAATACCTTAGCAATTTGTATTTCTGTGGCTGAGGTATAGATCCAGGTAAAAAGATAATCAGCTCAGAAAAGTGATAAATAGCAAGAACTTGAGTAAGTCACAAAGATACAGAGATAATTTCTTGCCTCAATTTTACTGAAATAAATGAGTATAAGACATAGTGACCCTGAAAAAAAGGTCTTTCATGCCTATGAAGTAGAAAATTGTGTTAAAGGAAAAAGAAGAAAGCAGGCGAAACCTGGAGAAGGAGAAAACCTCAGGACAAAAAATTCCACAAAAACCAAATCAAACCAAACGAGCAACAAAACCCCACAATCAAACAACCCCTCCACAAACAAACAGAAAAAACCCCAAACAAAATACCCCTAAGCAACTCTTAGGGGAAATGTTAATTACAAATATAGATTGAGAGATTTGCTTTTGACATCTGCAATCTCAAAGCTGTGTATTTCTTTGGCAGTACTAGGAAGGTTAACACTTGAAAAGCTGACACTGAAGCAGTACTGCTATCCAATCAACACAGACATGTGTTGGTGGTTTAATTTGTGAGCCTTAAAATCTCTATGAAAATTCATGTTTCCAATGTTTTACCATTATCACTGTTTCACCAGACACATGAAGTGTTTTGCCAACATTAACAAAAAATGTGGAAGAGAAAAGTATTATTTCTGTTTGTGAATGCAAAACTGGCAGAGAGAAGCTAAAATTGCTTGACAAACAGCTTAGGGACACCAGACATGCATATGTTAAGCATCTCCTAGCTTACTATCCAATTCAGTGCTGAAGCCAGTAAAGCACTTTTGACAATGGAAATTGCAGTAATTGATTCAGTATGTGAATTTGACACATGGATTTGACTTCCCCTAGATAATTCTTGATCATGAACACTTTGCTTCGATATAGCTGTGAAGATGAATAAAACCAGTGGAAATATGCACTGAAATTCCTTATGCTATTTTCATTTATATCCAGACTTCTATCACCACTCAGTGTCTCTTGAATATGAAATGTGTTAAGTAAGAAAAGGTGAAGTGCCTGTAACAAGTCCTCAACAGAAGCCTGTGATGTGCGGTATAAAATTACATGTTCCTGCCCAGACTCCTAATGAACTCTCAGATGTCTTCCCCCAGCTGTATTTTGCTGTGACACTCACCTCTGCTTCAGAAGCTGTTTGTTGTCCTCAATTGTTATACTGTCAGCATGGTCCTGCTTGAAAACTTCAAAAGCTTCTTGGCATCCAAGTGATAGCTTTTCTCCTGCCCCGAGATAAAAAAAAAAAAAAAGAAAAAAAAAAAAGAGAGAACTTCTTCAGAGTCATCAAAATATAGAGATTTTGCAGCAAGTCAGCCCAGAGGTCTTAAAGCAAAGTTTTAGTTTCAGTTTCTAAGTTCAGTTTTCCACTGATTGGAAAGCATTTTTTACACAAGAGTTCTATTATCTGACAAATGAATTATGTTTCACATCAGACTTCTCTGAAGTCTGATAGCTTGAGGTATATAACACTTCAAGATAATTTTAAATGTTCATAAGTAAAACTGAACTTTGAAAATTTAAAATACATGAAATATTCTTAAGTGCAAGCTAGAGGTATTTTCACAACAGCACAACACAGTTTGCTTCTGTATTTCTTTCACCTGTTTCATACTAGGCCCTAAAAATACCTAACATATTTTTCAATATTCTTGGAAGAAAAAAATTAGGCTTCTTTAATTATGTGTTAGTAAATACTCTTCCATACCCTTTTAGGTAAAACAAGAATTCTACCTACAGAAATTGTTGGTGCCTTTTTTACAGTTACAACATGGAGTTTGGCTCCTTTGGTGCACCAGAATGTCAAGATTTATTTGGCCTTCAAATCTTTTTAAAATCACTGTAGAAAAATATTACATTCTGTATTATTTTCATATAAATAAAAATGCAAAATAGCTCCACCTTTAATTCAACCTCCAAGTTGAAACTTAAACCTTGAAAATTATATTCCTTGAATTAGAATTTTATTTTCTTTTGATTTTCCCCTTCTTCAGTCTTTCTTTTGTCCTACCCACAAGTATGCCTTCCTGCCTTAGAGCTATCCAGACCCCCAAATCAATTTTGAAAAAGAGCTATAAAACTCCCTAGGATTTCTTCTGTGCAAGTGTTTTTTCTATGTTTTATGCTAACAGACCAGCATTACCAGTAACATATGCACATATACCAGTTCTTTTTCAGGCTACCAGCTTTGCAATTTTGGTGGAAGGGTTTTCTCCTTCTCCAGGTTTCTCCTCTTTCTCCTTCTTTCTTTAACACAATTTTCTCATTTCATAGAAATGATATACATTGTTTTCAGAGTCAGCATCACCAAGTCTTATGCTCATTTACATCAGTGAAGCTGAGGCAAGAAATAGGCAAAACATGCCTAAACAGGCTGGGATGTGCAATACTGGGATGTTACCCCTTACTGGTCCATAAGCTACATTTTAAAATCATTCTAAATATATTCTGGTGCACCTCGTCATACGTGTATCAGCATAAGTTCCAATTGACTGTGGTGAGATTTCTGTGATGTAAGATACTGTTTACAGAGAAGGCTGGTAAAATGATTTGTAAAAGTGTAAAAAGATCTCTTTAAAATACAGAGAAAATTTTGTCCCCTTTTTCAGTCAAAAGAATCAGCACATCTGTTACTAATTCAAAAATTTTGAGCTGAAAATAGAACCACCAGGAATGTTTGAATGGCAAAGCATGCAGAAATGCTCCACGCTTTTTGAATATGAAAATCAAAGAAAGATACACTACACTATTTACTGTTGTGTGATCCAAAAGAGCAAGAGATTTCAGGAAAATATATTTTTCTGTAGTGATGACTTGAGAGTATAATGTTCATGTTTCATGCCTTATAGAAAAACAGGCAGCTTTGTGAGCAGAATTTTATAATGCATTCACTCCATCTCTAGCACAAATTTTAACATGCAGTCTGAATTGAGCCCCTGGCTTTGGTTGCAGAAAAAGCTTGTATTAAGTGCAGAAAGCCTGGAAGAGATTAATGATCAAGCCTAAGATAAATAATTACGTGCCCTTACTCATACATAACACTGCAATGTAAAGGATTTAACTCTTCTGGCCATGTGCTGCCCTTGAGAGTACAAATAAAAACAGGAAAGTAAGTTCAGAAAACAAAACTATTACAGTGATTACTGTTAGTGCCTGGCAGAAATGCATCAACCGAAATTAAAGGTAATCTGACAATAATTTTACAGCACTAGCTTGAAGAGGCATCAAATTTTTACAGCCAAACAAAGCACACAAATATAGATCCTCAGAACACTTGGGAAGAGGAAATTTTCTGGTTTATGCAGTTCATTCTAAGAATCTATATATTCTAAGAAAACACAGAAACATATGAAGTAGTAAGCAAGCCCATTCTAAAAATAGTATAAAAGGAAAGAAACTTAGAAGGGATCATTGAGATCATATTTCAGTATAATATGAGCATACAACAGCTACAGAATAATGTTGCATCCTATGGGTAATGGCAGTGACATTTATGAAGAAAATAAGGAAAGACAACAATGTTATTAACAGTAAGACTGCAAGAGATTTTTAAAGCTTGATGGACTAGTTGTAATTTCATTCTGCTCAATAGTGAAGATGATTTCTTTTCCATGGTTGATGTGGTATCTTCAATCATAATTTTTACATTTCCTTAAATAATCTGTAATTTCATAAAATAGCCTCACCTTCTTTCAAATGACCTCCAAGTCCCATGGTGCACTAACACGATTGACGTATTGTTTCTCCTGGGCTTAATTCTAACAAATAAGCTACATGCTATCTTAAACAAAGGTGTTCTTAGATTTTTCTCTAGCTTTGAAATTGAAATCTATGTACAGCAATACATACATTATAAAATAAAAACAGAATTACGAGAAGAAACCAGTGATAAGGGCAAAGTTTTGGCAATAGTCCAGCTAAATAGTGGAATAGTCCAGCTAAAACATCTAGAGAAAGCAATTTCTTTCACACTCAAAAAGCCAAAAAATTCCTCCTCTCCTTCTTAATTACCATGGCATAGTGTTACAAAATAAATATTTATAAATTCTTATCTAAGGAAGAACCATCATATTCTGCAGGATGAGAACCAGTAAACACATGCCATCATGTTATTACAATGTGACCTGGAATAGTCATTACCATGAATTTAATTCAGATAATTGGAAAAAACATAACATTTTCTTTCAATCACATTCATGAAACCCAGTGGACAGGACTGCATGAAAAAGAGATAAAGTTTGTATCAACCTCCTTTTAATTACACCTTGTGGGGGCCAAAGAATCAGCCAGCAAAGAGATTGTGATGGTCTCCTAGAGAGCTTCTCCTTAGGCAAGGCACTTTGCTCTCACAGTGAGAAGGTATCTTTCCCAGAGACCTTTGTGAGTTACATGTTAATCTATTGTATCTTATTGGTTTTCTTCTCCATCACTCTACCCAGTTACTTGCATCCCAGTTTCTCCCCACCCCTCTTCTTCCCGATATAAACCCCAGTTTTTTCCCTGTTCGAGAGAGCTGCTGTCCCAGGGTCCCTTCAAACAGGGCCCTGCTTTCAATAAAGGCTAGTTCTCTGTGGAACGCCACACAGTGCCTCAGTCCCTCTCTCCGTGTTACCTGAGAGCCGCTGCTGGGCTGAGCTGAAAATCACTCCCTGGGCTGTAGGAAACCATTTTAACAGAGCAAAAGCATGATATTTTAGTAAAAGCCTGTCTGCACAACCCAGCTTTCAGTCCAGGCAACAATTCTAAGGGCAGTGTCCTTGAAACTCTCCTGGAACAGCAAGAATAAAGAAAAACAGTGGTACTATGTAAATGGAAAAGAATGTAAAACAGTATGTGTTAACCAATAGTAGCTTGTTAAGCCCCGTGAACCCTGTAGGACCCTATAAAAGTGTGCTCAAAATAGAAATAAATGACATTTACTATACCTCTATGAGGACTCAGTGAATAGCCTGAGCAGTTTTCCATTACTGGACTAGGGACATGCCTGTGTCCCAAGCTGTCTTTTTAAAGATGCTTCTTCAGGGAGGTCGCGGCACCCTTACCATCCACCCCGCCGTGGCAATACTTTTCCTGTTAGATTGTGTAATTTGGGTTGAATTCTAAAACACAGATATGCCCAACTCACACAAGGTGAAATTCACATCAAATTTATAGCAAGTTCACATAGCTGAAATTTTTGGTAAAATTCAGGTTCAATCCACATCATGAATTTGTATGTTTAGGAATGTTCTCATTGAAGGTTCTCTGACCCAATGAACTCTCTCAGCTTTCATATTAAGCAAAAAAATTTGGTTCAATAGGCTTTTTTGCTGAAATGTGCCAATTACATCTGTTCCACTGAACTTGGATAAGTTAGCTGGGTGGCAGTGATGCGTCCCAGGCTCTGAACTAGAGCAGCAAGATCTGACATGACCAAGAAATAAAAAGGTTGCTGTAGTATTGACAATGGGCTAAACTCTCAAAACCAGTAATAATTGAAAATACAGAAAACAAAAATATAATTAGGCTTATGGATGCTGCTTATTACTTTTTAAGGTAAGAAAAGACCAAACTGATTTAAGGACTCAGTGGTATGCCTACAGGAGGTAGAAAACTGCATATCAGTGAAGACCCTGGCAGATATTGTGCATATTATTCTATGTCTTACTAATTTAGAAATTTTAAGCATTTATTCTATGTTGTTACATACACACATGCTGTTTACAGCCATCCTAAACACCAAATGTTAATTTAAAAAAAAATTTAACTTTAAAGGAACATGCAGGGTATAGTGTGGTGCTGGGTCTTCAACTGCCAACAGAGAAATTATTTGGCTGAATGCTATTTTTAAATTAAGTAGTATGCACTGGAATTATTCAAGGACTACACTGAGTAGATAGGAGCATGCAAAGGGGATAAACATAGACCTTATTTTGTTGTTTAAAGTGACCAAACACAGTTGTCTATTTACATGACCATACTTATTTTTAAAAGTATCTAACACCAACAAATCCTATTGCAGCTTGTATTAGTGATCAAAATGGATAAATATTAGATAATTTTAATGTATTTTATTTTAGTGATTTTTTCTTTTTTTTTCCCCCTACAAATTTCAAGACCTCTCAGTCTGGGAAGGGCACTTCCAGTCTTGAGTCTGGGCACCTTCTGTTTTTTTGTTTGTTTGTTGTAAAAGGGTTATGGCTTGGAGGGAGAAAATCTTTATAAAGTTTAATGCATGAAACCTACA